CGGAGGCCCTGGGAGGCTGGGCCCTCCTAGCAGTGAGAGTGAGTGGCTGTAGCCCCAGCCCTGATGTCACGGAGGCCCTGGGAGGCTGGGCCCTCTTAGCAGTGAGAGTCAGTGGCTGTAGCCCCAGCCCTGATGTCACGGAGGCCCTGGGAGGCTGGGCCCTCTTAGCAGTGAGAGTGAGTGGCTGTAGCCCCAGCCCTGATGTCATGGAGGCCCTGGGAGGCTGGGCCCTCCTAGCAGTGAGAACAAGTGGCTGTAGCCCCAGCCCCCCTCCTCTTAGTGCAGCCTTTGTCTGTCTCATGTTTGGTTTCAGAATGAGATCGTGTTTGCAGAGACTAAAAATCTAAAACCCCCTGGTCTGGAGAACCAAGCTGATGGCCACTTTCTCCCCACCACTACTGCGAGTGACCATCTGGCCCTCGATGTGAGGATGGGGCCCTCTCCGGGGTGGGGGATAAGTGCATCCAGACTGGGGGGACACTGAGAAGGCTCACGGAGGCCTCTCTGGGTCCCACCACTTGGAGCCTCCCAGAAGGGCAGGAAGGGGTGGGCATCGACCCTCATCTCCTCTGCTTGCCAAGTACCTACAAACATCCAGGCCTGGGGAAAGGTACTCGTCCAGTGCCCGGAGGGAGCTTACAGCTGCCCAGGGCTGCCATGACCACGCAGTCGGGAGCTCAGGGGTTCGCAGACCCCTGTCCTTGGCTTGGGCTGCTCATCCAACCTGACCCGTCCCTGTCACATGGCAAAGCACACCTCCGCCTGCTCGGGGCTCTAGGCGCCATGGAAGCCATTTGCAACAGGGAGACAAGAAAACAAGCAGGGGTTTTTGTTTCAAAATTCTATTTTTAGAGCAAGTTGGGATGTGCTTGGACCAGGCTGGGGGAGCAGTGCTGAGAAGGAAAGTGCCCAACGCCAGGTGAGATATTCCCACCGTGAACCACTGACAGCCCGACTCCCGCACCTCTGGAAGGAGCCTAGGACAACTACAGTGGTGTGACCCCAACATGCACTGTGGGCTGGAGCTCCCTGGGCACAGCTATGGTCTCTGGGTCCCTGACTCCCCTCCTGGAAAGGAGCAGGGCGTGGGGGCTGCCCCCCAGGGTGAAATTGGAAGAGGGCCTAACAGCACCCCAAGGCCACTCCTGCCTTGTCCCCTACCTCCCCTCCTGTCACCCTCCCATTCTCCTGAGCTGCTGCCAGAGTGCAGATGGCAGATGGCCACCAGTCCCCTGGTGCACGGTGACAAGGACATGGCGGCAGGACACTCACCTCCCAGGGCGTGCTCGGTCATACTGAGGCACAAGGACTCCAGTCTGTTGTTGATGTCGGGTTCAGTCACAGGAAGCTGAAATTCTGCAGAGGACACAGGGTTATGTTGGTGACAGGGACTTCAATGACAAAGAGAAAGTGTGCACAGTGCCACCAGGCTCTACTGCCAGTGTGAGGGTCCAGTACACCTCCCTCACTGTCAGGGTCAATCAGCCCCTGAGGTCTGTTTGACACACAGAGTTGGCTGTGAACATGGGCAGCTGGACAAGCCCATGACTAGAAATACCGGGTCAGAGTCTCTCCCTCCTGCCCACAGCCCTCCAACGGCCTCTCATCAGATGGGAGGCCAACCTCCTGCCATAGCCCCAGTCACACCCCCACCCGCTGCCTGCACACAGCTCTCCCTTCCCTCGCTCCCCCCACCACCCTGGACCCCAGGCTTTGCCAGTCACCTCCCTGCCCCCATACAGCTCTCCCCTCCCTCGCTCCCCCACCGCCCTGGACCCCAGGCTTCGTCAGTCACCTCCCTGCCCCCATACAGCTCTCCCCTCCCTCGCTCCCCCACCGCCCTGGACCCCAGGCTTCGTCAGTCACCTCCCTGCTCCCATACGGCTCTCCCCTCCCTCGCTCCCCCACCGCCCTGGACCCCAGGCTTTGCACTGCTGTCCCTCCTGGCCTCGGCTCGCTCTCTCCTGCCGACTTTGTTCAGTGAGTGTGAACAGCACTTCGTCCCACCACCCTCTCCCCCCACTTTATTCTCTGCAGAGACTTCCCCAACATCTGACACACTGTGTCTTTGTCTTCTGCCCCCGCCCAGCTGAGTGCTCACTTCACTAGGGAGGATGTACCTCTGCCCAGGGTGCCTGGGACCCGGCCTGGCACATTCTTGCTTCGTTACAGGGCTGAGGGAGGAAACGCACCCACTGTGGACACCTGTGACATGGGCCTTGGCCTTTGGCACACCCCACATGCATCTCCGTGGTGAGAAGGGGGAGGAAATGCTGGTGCAGCTGAGGGGAGCATGCTGGCAGGGGGGACTCCTGGGGGACAGGGAATCTCATGATTGCCTCCATTTTGGGCTTGGTGCCCACAGCTCAGTGGTTAGGGCACCAGCCACATACACTGGAGCTGGCGGGTTTGAACCTGGCCCAGGCCAGCTAAACAACAACGACAAATGCAACAACAACAACAAAAAGAGCCGGGTGTTGTGGCAGGTACCTTTAATCCCAGCTACTTGGGAGGCCGAGACAAGAGAATTGCTTAAGCCCAAGAGTTGGAGGTTGCTGTGAGCTGTGATGCCACCGCATTCTATGAAGGGCAACATAGTGAGTCTCTGTCTCAAAACAAAACAAAACAAAACAACAAAAAAACACGGTTCTGGGACAGGACAGTGTTCTCTGCTTCGTGTGTCAGCTCTTCTACTATCAGCCAGGAAGAGCCTCCTGTGACCCAAACCTCAGGCCAGTTCCCTTCTCCTTCACGTCTGCACACGGTGGGCAGGTGGGGCCAGAAAGAGATGGGAGAAGAAGCGGGAAAGAGGGAGGAGAGGAAGAGAAGGAGAAGGAGAAGAGAGAGGAGGGATGAGGGTGGTGGTTTGGTAGGACAGGAAGTCAGAACGATGGCTAAACCAAAGTGTGTGTTTGTCTTGATTAGCTGTCCTGAAGATCTCTGCAATCAAATTTCCCATTACCAGGTGGTTCTGAGGCAGATGTTGCTTCTGTCATTTAAAAATTTCAATGAGAAGGCTGGTGAATGGGTCACTGTGGGAAGCACGGGGAGCTGGGCAGGGCCTTCCTGACAAGCTGCCAGTTCACGTGTGGGGATAACTGAGCTCCCAGGGAGCTCCAGGGGAGGCAGCGGTGACATCCCCCTCCTGGTCCCCGCTAGCTGCTCTTAGAGTAGGGTCAGGGCGATCAGAAAATCCCAGAGGGAAGAGATTTTAGTATTTTCACCCATTCATGTGAAAATCATATGCATGCAAAAATTAGCAGTCTTTAGGGTGTGAAATCTATAAAATAGAAACACAATTTTATATATAGCGAGTTAGCAAATATGAAAAAAAAAACAAACCTCAGCAATTACAGCCATCCATATGCTCATTGTGAGACTTAGTTTACTCTCCAGCACTCCCCTTTAAACAAACACTGTGGAGAGATTCGGATAAATAAAGATGCTCGACATTTGGAGAGAAGAGTTTCAGCTGCAGGATTTCTTGCCAACACGCAGCAAAATGCCATTTTCCGAGCCTGGGATTGCGTGTTCCAAAGAGGGGGCTGAGAGATGCAGGGCTCTGCGTTCTCAGATCCCCGTCCTGGCGGATGCTCTTTTAGGTGGGAAGTGGGGCGCCCGCTCCCCTCCCTGCCTGCCCGCCCAGAGTGCGGCAGCCAGGACCCACTCGGCGCTCAGAGAGGCTCCAGGAAACCTAAAGTCTTAGGAGAAGCCCATATGTTCCACCTCAGAGTTTCCCAATAGTGTGACTTCTTAATTGTGTGTTTGATAAAAACAGATCCAAGAAACCTCGCAGCATGTGCTAGACGGAGGGAGGCCAGTTAGAGAACAGCTCCCATCTCAGGCCGAGACCCTCAGCTGAAGTGCGAGGTGGAGCGAGGCCAGTTAGGCAGAGAACAGCTCCCATCTCAGGCCGAAACCCTCAGCTGAAGCCTGGTGGGCAGAGCTCTCCCCAGAACTCCCAAGGGGCACGTTTACCTCCAGGCCAAGGCTTGCTGGGTCTCCTGCTAAGCCTGAGGGCTCACATCATTTGTCCCAAGCCCCCCGACTGTCACAGGTGGGTGGCACTGTCGGGAGGAAGACGTCTCTTAAATGGACTTAGTTATGAAGCTTAGATGAAGTCTTCAGGAATTCTTTTCCTAGGATTTAGTGAGGATCAATCCCAACCTCTGGGATCCCCAGGGTCTAGGCCAGTGGTTCTCAACCTGTGGGTCACGACCCATAGGAATTGTGAGAACCACTGGTGTAGGTGGACTTGACACTTTATAATTGTATCTTTTCAGAAGTCCCACGTGGACCAGTGGTGCAGCGTTCTGGGGTCAGGAAGCCCCCGGAGGGAGCAGCAGGCCTCCCTGATGAGTGGCCACACGGCTTGTGACACAGTGACCGTCCCTCTGTGGAGGCCTCACATGCGTGGCACCTGTGGTGTGGTTTCGGGGCTCTTTCTCCAAGGTGTTGAGGGTTAGGCGCTGGCTTCAGAATAAGAGGTGGGCAGGACATTCTAGGGAAAGCCTTTAGAATCCTACTTTCTACAAGGAAAGCTGAGGCTTCTCTGTTGAGTAGCTAGAAAGGTCAGTGTCTGGTTGGGGGGGTGTGGGAAGGAGAGCAAGGAAGATGTGCAGCCAAGAAGGGGCACGGAGACAGAGACGGAGACAGAGACGGAGACAGAGATGGAGACAGGGACGGAGACGGAGACGGAGACGGAGACAGGGACGGAGACAGGGACGGAGACAGAGACAGGGACGGAGACGGAGACAGAGACGGAGACAGGGACGGAGACGGAGACAGAGATGGAGACGGAGACGGAGACAGAGATGGAGACAGGGACGGAGACAGAGACGGAGATGGGGACGGAGACGGAGACCGGGACGGAGACAGGGACGGAGACGGAGACGGAGACCGAGACGGGGACAGAGACGGAGACGGAGACAGAGACAGGGACGGAGACAGAGACGGGGACGGGGACGGGGACGGGGACGGAGACGGAGACAGGGACGGAGATGGAGACGGAGATGGAGACAGGGACGGAGATGGAGATGGAGACGGAGACGGAGACAGGGATGGAGACGGAGACGGAGACGGAGACAGAGACGGAGACAGGGACGGAGACAGAGACGGAGACGGAGACGGAGACAGGGACAGGGACGGAGACGGAGACAGGCGGCGAGGAACGCGAGGGCCAATGAGAGAGGGAGGAGGCAGGTCAGAGCAGAACTGGCAGGGAGAGGAGACAGAGCCACCATCCTGGTGCGTGTCACCCCTTGTCCCCTGCACTCTGGGAGGACCAGCTTACTGCTTCTTACTCATCCCAGAGGCCAGTAAGAGAAACAACTGAAGATGGCTTGTTCAGGAGAAGAGCAGAAATCTGCCCGAGGGGCCTCCAAGGAGCCTGCATAGCACATAGATTCAGGAAAGAGGGCAGTGTCCTGTGAGTCTGAGCACCGTGGCACACAGTGGGGCTGGGCAGCGTCCTGTGAGTCCGAGCGCCGTGGCACGCAGTGGGGCTGGGCAGCGTCCTGTGAGTCTGAGCGTCGTGGCACACAGTGGGGCTGGGCAGCGTCCTGTGAGTCTGAGCGTCGTGGCACACAGTGGGGCTGGGCAGCGTCCTGTGAGTCCAAGCACGGTGGCACACAGTGGGGCTGGGCAGTGTCCTGTGAGTCTGAGCGTCGTGGCACACAGTGGGGCTGGGCAGCGTCCTGTGAGTCCAAGCATGGTGGCACACAGTGGGGCTGGGCAGTGTCCTGTGAGTCCAAGCGCCGTGGCACACAGTGGGGCTGGGCAGCGTCCTGTGAATCCGAGCGCCGTGGCACACAGTGGGGCTGGGCAGCGTCCTGTGAATCCGAGCGCCGTGGCACACAGTGGGGCTGGGCAGCGTCCTGTGAGTCTGAGCACAGTGGCACACAGTGGGGCTGGCTCTGGCCCGGGCCTCTCCATCTTCTCTGAGGATGTTTGAATCATCCCTCCTCTTACTGGAATGAAGCATCCTTAGACACACCATAGTTCTCCAGATTTGTCCAAGCCTTTTAAAGAGGATTCTTTGAAGCCATCTGTTGGCCAGGAGGAAACCCCTACATTGCCGGTGATGCTGTCTTCTGCATAGTCACCTACATTTCGTGCTGTCGCTCCGTGTGTGTGTGAAGGTAGAACCCCCTCCTGTCTTCCTGACTTTGCTGTCCCGATGTGCTGCCTTCAGTCCAGTCCCAGTGCCTGGCCCCCAACCCCCAGTCCCTGCAGGTGACCAGGTGGTGCTGCTCCGTGTGGAAAGGCGCCCCTGTGGAGGGGGGTACCCTGCTTCTCCAGGACAAGCCTTCAGCTGCACCTGGCTTGGGGTCAGAGAAGCTGCCTCTTCGGAAAGCTGGGAAATTCTCAGTGATGTGTGGCCTTGACACCCAGCGTGTGCTCAGAGCAGCAAGGGGGCACTTGCAGCCCTGAGCCAGGCTGAGGAGCTGCGGCCTGTGACCCAGCAGGAGCTCTCTGTGCTGGGCGAGTGCTCCCTGGTTCATGTGCAGTCAGGAAACCCGGAGGGGCCTTCTCCCCATGCTTCAGCTGTTCTTAGGAACGCTGTGGCTTGTCATGGCCTTGTTGGAGGTGGGTTTGTACTGCTTGGGCAAGAGATTAATTTAAAAAAATAAAACAGAACCACTCCTAGGGGTTCCTGAGTCCAGAAGGCAAAGCATGACATTTGTAGACTTGCAGGTAACTACCTTGTAGGAAAACTGAGAACTGCTGTACTATTTAAATGGTTGCCCCTGGAACCTGGGGATGTGAGCAAAGAGAGACAGTCACTTTTCCTTTGAGCTCTTCGAATTGTTCAATTCTTTAACTGTGGCAACAAGAGGCTTCATAGGAAAGAAGTGAAAACGATCGTAGGTTCATAGCTGCCCTGAACATGAGCCAGGCTCATGGCACTGCTGGGAACCAGTGGACAGGAAACCAAGGGTCGATTCAACAGCTCCAAAGCACTTGGGGCCGGCCCTGCTCTTAGAAAGTGGACTCTCTAGGCCTGGACTTCCCAGCTAAGATGGGGAAAACTCGGGGAAGGTACAGCAAGAGAAAAAGGGAAGGACTAAGAGCTGGGCAAAGGGCAGAAAGGAAAACACAAAGAAGGCCCCATGTCCTAGGGCTGAGGCGAGCAGTCCCTCTTCCAGGGCCTCTGTGGCCATGAGACTCGGGGCTGCCCTCCAGGGACTGGGGTCAGGGACAGGATTACGGCATGAGAACAGGATGGGAGGAGATGGCCCAGGGAAAAGGCCTTCCCAAGTTCAGGTTTTATAGCTGTCCTTCCAGGAAGGAAAACAGCTACAGCTATAGGAGTGGAGAAAGGAACTTTGGAACATGAGCAAGTTGGAGACTTAGGGACCTGGACCACAAGGCAGGGACTCCTTCTCCTTAGATCCTTTCCCTTGGCGGGTCCTCTTCCTCCCAGACTCTCCTTTCTCTCCTCCTCACACCCACTGCCCTGCTCCCAGTCTCCCCACTGAGTGTGGCCAGAGTCCTGGCTCCTTGGCTCCTCAGCATTGGGTTCATAGCCCCCACTATGTGCTACAATCTTTTATGTCTCCCATGGTCTCCTCTCTGCCCCTTTGGCCAGACCCTTCAGCCTGGCCACAGGCTCCAGCACACACAGCGGCACCTGGGGCTTTGCAGGCTTCCCCTGCCTCCGCACCCTTCCCCTTGAAGCTCAGCTCCACTTCTAAGAAGCTTCCTTGCCCACCCCGTCCACAGTGGTGCGTTTCTCCCTTGAACTCCTACAAGGCTTACTGTATGGACTGTCTGTGCATCTAGGGCGGGGACCTGCTCACAGGTGCACACGTCTCTGCTTGCTTGCCTGAGGTGGATACCCTGCTGTGTGGCTGTGCAAACTCTCAGGGTCTGATGGGTCACTCCTGCACACAGAGGACTCAGGCATCAGTTGTACACATTCTGGCCACTCTGCTTTAGTGGCACAGCAGGAATGGACTTAAGTGTGCCAAGCTGCCCTTTAACCGAGTCAAAGAAAGATGTTCAGCTGATCTAACAGTCATGGCTTTGCAAGACAAGCCCATACTGGTGGTGCTCTCAGTCCCAGCAAGGCCGAATTTTCTTTCCCTCTGTCTTATTCTTTCTCTACACACACACACACACAGAGCACATGAACCCCCCATCTCCCCAAAAGTCTTCTGGTGATATCTGTTGTAATCAATCCTGACTAGTATCAAAAATATCCCATCAGATTGCAACTGGCTCCCAGTCAAGCCGCTGTCCGTGTTGGCAGGGCACGGTTTAAAATGGAAAGGCTCCTATAAGCTCGAAAGAATGCTGTGACAGCAAGGTTAAGCTCCTTCCGGCTGGGCTCATGGGCCGTTTGGTGTCCCAGCCTCCCTCCCCATCAAGGAGGAGCCGCGCGCCTACCCGGCTGCTGGAACATGAGTGCGCTCTGTGGGGACGTGTGCACCGGCAGCGAGCGGGTCCTCTGCACGGAGCTGTGGGTGCGGCTGGGCATGCTGTTGCTGCCACTGGGGTTGGCAAACCAGAGGTTCTAGCGAGAAAAGCAAAAAGAAGGACCTTGTTAGTCCACAGCCCTGGGACGGAAGCGGAGCTGCCACCAGAACTCAGGAGGCAACTGTCCCCCCAGAACTCTCTGCTAATGTCTCCAAAGGGTTTGCAGGCCAGGGTCCCATGTGCACGTTTATAGAGAGAGGGTTTCTTTAATTTCATTTTTGATTCTTTTGAGCCACAGTCTCACTTTGTCATCCTGAGTAAAGTGCTGTGGTGTCATAGCTTACAGCAACTTCCAACTCCTGGCTCAAGATCCTCCTCCCTCAGCCTCCCAAGTAGTTGGGACCGCTGACATCCAGCTAACTTTTCTGCCTTTTTTTTTTTTTTTAAGTAGAGATGGGGTCTTGCTCTTGCTCAGGCTGGTTATAAACTCCTGAGCTCAGGGGATCCTCCTGCCTCGGCCTTCCAGAGTGCTGGGATGACAGGAGGGAGCCGCTGGGGCCGTTTGCCACGTCTTCCTGCCCCTTGGCCTCACTCTAAGTCTCAGCTTTATCTGGACACCACTCTCCCTCAGCGTCTCACTTTTTTGCCATTTGTTGCTTTTGCTTTTTCCTGACTTTCCTAGGAAATGGGGGAGTTCTGTAAATGCTTCTAGGAACAGCACAAACTATTTCAGGGCTCTCTTTTGATTTTCCTTTTGAGATTCTTATAAATTTATTCCAAAGCAAGGGGGACGAAAAGCAGCCAATCTCAGCCAGGAGCGAGTGGTGCAGCTCAGCCGCTGTGGCCTGGCAGAGCCTTCTCTTGGGCTCCTCTGTGCCTGGGGCCGTGGTCAGACCTCAGGGCTTTTTGATCCTGTGCTACATCCCCAGGGAGTAAATTCGCCTTCTTGCACAGAGCTGCCTTCCTATTTTTAAGCCCACCTGTCATCCTTCAGTTTCTCAGTCCTGTTATGTCCCTCCATACCTAGCTCAACCTGCAGAGACCCTCCTGAGGGGAGGCTTATGGGCAGGCAGGATCCCTGGGCAGGGCAGGCTCAGGGCCTGGGACCAGAGCTGGAGAGTGGTGGGGCAGGGAAGCCAACTTCCTGAACTGAAAGTGGTGGTTCTCCCTCTGCTGGCCTCTCACAACTCTGTCATGGCTGGGCCATGACAAGGGAGCTGTTTGCCACGGATCAAAAGGCAAAGGAAGTTCCTAAATATTTGGGCTACTCCAGACCCCAGATCACAGGAGGTGCCCTGTGATCAGGGCAGAGAAGAAACCGGGCTTGCATTTCTTTGAAAGGCCGTCCACTGCAGGGCCCCTAGGCTTAGGTGGTCCTCAGAACAGGGTTAGCACAACTCTGGGGTAGTTTCACTCCCACAGAAACAGCACAAAAGATTTCGGTTATCCCTGAGGCCTGGGGACAGTTGCCCTGAATCTAGTTCCCCGGACATCTCTCCCACCTTGGGGTCACGTGGCGGGGGCCCCCCTCTTCCTCTCCCTGGGCAGCAGCCCTGAATTTAGTTCCTCGACCTTCCTCCCACCTTGGGGTCACCTGGCAGGGCCCCCCTTCCCTGAGCAGTAGCCCTGAATTTAGTCCCCTGGCCTCCCTCCACCTTGGGGTCACCTGGCGACCCCCACCCCCTGGCAGCACAAACCTGTCTCCCCTGCTTCATGATGGTGGGGTTGGCTGCAGGGCTGCGCTGGTTGGAGCTGACGAATCCACTGGTGCCCAGGAGGCCCAGGCGGGCAGAAGGGACACTCCGGGAGGGAATCTGGTACTGACGCGGGTTCCGCCTGCCCATGCCGCTGCCCACAGAGCCCGCCGTGGGGAGGGAGTTGGACTGCCCAAAACCGCGACTGTGAGGCCAAGGGAGAGAACCAGAGGGTCAGTCACTGCTCGGCCTGCCTGGCTGCTGCCTGCAGGTGCTACCCGGGGCTTGCTCACAAGCTGACTGCTGTGTGGCCTTTAGGGAGCTCTGTGCCAGCCCAACACTGTGATGGAGATCGCGGGGCCTGTGACGGGCACCGTCCTGGGACCTCTACATCATTCTTCAATCCTTGCAACAGCCCTGTGAGGTGGTGCTGGCCCCAAACAGTGAACAGCCCGTGGAGGAGGAGCACGGAGGTTTAGCAACGTCCCAAGGTGGCAGGGCCAGGGATGGGCCCAGGCACTTCGCTGGTCTCCTGCTACAGTCGCCTCCCCTGAGTGCTTTGCCTTTGAGGCAGCCACACAGCAAGAAAGCACAGAGCCAGGACTGGAATGGGGCCTGACCCTGTCCCCAAGGCCCGTGCTCCTTCCTTTCTGCTGGAGTCTGTTCCTGGTCTCTCTATCCGTGAGGCAGACATGGAGAGTCCTGAAGCCCCCTGAGCACCATGCCTGTCCTCTCAGTCCTGGGGTCCCCAGCCCAAGCCAGCTCCAGGCACAGTAAATGTAGGTTGAATGAGCCAAGAATTAGTCTCTGCTGTCATGATGCGGCCCCATCTGCAGGGCCAGGGACAGGAGGACACAGATGGTGACTGATGCTGGCAAGGGCTCTGGCCCTGGGACACACACTGCCCCTGCTCCACAGACCTCCCTGCAGCCCAGACATGTGGAGGGGAGGCCGAGGTCCCACCCTGCTCCGATGGGCCCACACAGGGGAGGCCCCTGCTGTCACATGCAGGTTGGACCATTCCATGAGGGCGGGTGACCTCAGCATGGAAGAACTCTCTTCTCCAACTAACTGCTCAGGTCTGGGAGGCTGTGCGGCAGCCAGCAGGGTTCCAGGGACCAGCACATTCTTTCTAAGAGGAGTCAGCTTCAGTTGGTTATGTTGGAGTCAAGCTGCTCTACCTCCAATGGCCACAAGATGGAACAGACTTGCTTTTCCAGCCACATGGGAGGTTTGTTCCAGACCAGCCAGGAGACTCCAGCAAGCAGGCTGACGTAGTTTAACCAGTTGAGGGGGACCAGGGGCCTGCAAAACCCTCACTTCCTGCGATGAAGGGAGAGCCGGGCAGGGCTCAGAGCAGTCCCTCTTCCGCCCGGGATTCCTGTGGTTCCTGGGGAGGGAAGGAGAGGCCGGAGGACTCTGCCTGCATCTCCACTCCCAGGCTCTTGTGGACACCAAGAGTGTTTGGGATTCTGGTCACAAGACCCTAAAAATGTGGTAAAGAGGAAGATGTGGGCTCTTGGTCTCTGTTTTTCTCATCCTTTCTTCACCCCCTTATTCCTTTTTTATTGAGGTTTAAGATTTTTGGTTTATAGGGAGAAACTGAGGCCAGGGAGGTAGAACTGATTCCGGGTAGTCAGAGAGACCTCCTTGGAAGGACGATCTGAGAGCACCAACTGGTAGAGACAAGGGCTCGGGTGGTATTTTGGCTTTGTTTTTGAACTACGAAACTCATCCTTTTGTCTCTGAATTTGGAATTTTGGCCACCTGGTATCCTGCTAAGATTTTTCCTTATTTAGTGTGGATGGAGATTACTCACCCTCCTTTTTGGTTGGAGTTTTAGGAAGTTATTTCATATGTAAAACACAGAGTCAATGAGTGAAGCTGAAATGATTTGTACTTCCAGGAAGCCACGACTTGTTCTTAAGCAATGTGATGTGGGCAGGGGATTCTCCTACGGGCTACTTAGTCACTGGGGAAGAGAGGGGAGCAGGGGCTCCCGGAATGAGGACTTGGATGTGGATTAGGGGGTGCAGAGCCCAGAACATTTTGGGACAGGACATGATGGAGGAGGCGATGTCATCTTTCTGCTGACAGCGGGTCCCTTGCTGCCCTGTCCTTTGTTGGTTTTTGAAAGCCAGATTTGCTGAGGGCTGCCAGAGTGCCAGCTTAGGTCACTCAGACCGCTGAGCTTAGTGAAATCATCATGGGTTCTGGGCAGAGAGCAAAGTGCCCAAAGTAACTTTTCCTTCCTCATCCTCCTACTCTGCCTTTCTAAGTATGATTTCATCACATTGAAATGCATGAAAAGTCCTTGCTAAAATAACATTAATCAGAACCAGTTACTCAGGGATTTGTGATAATTCAAGCAGGGGCTGGGCTGCAGCTACCTTTGTATTATCAGAGAAGTGGATCTTCAAAGCAAATTAATAGCATGAAAAGATCCCAGAGGAAACCGTTTGAGTACAAAATATCTTGTAGCATTTCAGTAACATCCTGTTGGACTTCTGTCATCGATGACTGAATTCATTCTTATCTAATCAATGGAGATGCCACCAGGGCACCAACCCGGTTGCCTAATCCAAGCGTTAGTTACGCCCCAGGGAGCTGGGCAGGGTCTGAAGCAGAGGAACTTTCCGAAGAGGAGCAAAGAGCTTAGAAACCATCTGCATCGTCAGCTGCTGGTGCTTTCCTCCTCTGGGAACCCATGTTCTGAGAGGCACCTGGAGCCTCCTCATTCTACTAGGGAGAATTGCCCTCTTGGAGATATGAGGATGGAGATGATATTTGCAGGAGCTTTGGACTGGAGGCCCACACTGCCCTTGATCCCAGGCTCTCCCTGCAGCACAGGCCACACAAAGGCCGAGAGGCCTGCTTCTCCTGGGTCCACGTGGGGAGGCCACTGGGGCCACTTGCAGGTGCTGGAGCATCCAGCGGGTCCAGCATCCTCCGCACAGAAAATGCCCGTCTTTTCCAACACGTCCTTGGTCTGGGAGGCTGCATGGCAGCCAGCAGTGGTGCAGAGACCAGCACATTCTGAGGATTTCTGCCTCAGAAAGGAGATGCCTGAGCTGGGAGCAGGCCTTACCTTTCATCTGGGCCACCAGAAATCCTCAGGGTACAGAGGTGGGCCAGCCCAACCTGCCAGGGGCTGGTGACTCCAGAGGGCTCAGGGCCAGGGAGCTGGCAGTGCAGAGTGGGGCTCTGTCTGACCAGTCTCCTCTGCACTTCAACCTGAGCCCATGAGAGCAGCCGGACTTCCGTGGGGGTCAAGGGCATAAAGCCTGAGCCAGCCTGCCTGGTCCAAATCCTGGATGCCACTGCCCACCAACTCATCTGTAAACTGGTGTCAACAAGCAGCTCTACTGCACATGGCTGTTGCAAGGATTTGATGTAGCAACACTTTAAAGTGTCTGGATACCAGCTGGCATGTAGTAAGGGCTAAATAAATGTTTAATAAATAAGTGTTATATATGCCAGAATGTGATCCCTCTCCAATTTTAAAATTAATATTTTATGATGACTTTTTATAAACTCCAATTGGCCTTATCACCCTTCAAGATAAGACGAGGTAATGTTTTAAGACACACTTATACAAACATATGCCCCAAATGTTAGCAACACAGGCAGAGAGATTCTAATGGGCACTGAGAAATGAAATGAGTTCAGAATCCTTTAGGTGCAAGGATAGAAATTATCATTTGTCTGCTAGTGTTTTAAATGTAAAATACAGTGCTGATGTGTCAGGGTCTTTGCACTGACACTCACTAGCTTTCCAGTGATTCCTAAGTCAACCCTCCCCCCCCCCACTTAATTTCTCCTACAAATTTTCACTGCAGTTCACTTTTAATATGCAATTGGATTCTTCAATTTAAAACCACATTAAGGTAATGGGCTCTAAAGCACACCCAGGCTTATTTTTAACTGCCTTCAAGAAGCCGAATACTATGAAAAATCAAGAATGGTGTTTCTGCTCCACTACAAGGCTGCAGCTCAGACCAAAATAGCCCAGCACTGGGCTCCTCACCCTGCCACCGACTATAATTAGTTCATCTGCAGCTCAAAGGGAGAAGAGAAATTACACTACCACTTAAGGTGCTGATGGAACAACCCATTTTTGTCCCGTCAGTCCCCTTCATTGTGGTAAACCACCGAGCGTTTCGCTGCCATTCACCAAATGACAGCCGCCCTCCCCTCCTGTGTCCGTGGGACTCCTACCAGCATTTGGCAGTGTAAATTGAGTCACACACGCTCCTTCAGATCTGCCTCAGGGAATGCTGCCTCTCGCAGTCTTCTCCCAACCCCACCTGTTTAAGGAATGTGATGTGGAACCGCCACCTGGCATCTTCACGAATGAGGGATGGTGCCCGCCCATATTCCTGCCCCGAGACCCCAGTGGGAACCACCACGCGTTACAAAGAACGAACCCCCAACATACTTTCTTTGCTGTCGATATCCTGATATGTCTAGAAGGGTTTTCCGAGGGAAAGACCGAAAGAGCTTCTGCACCTGCTGTTTCCATGACAACAGTCTTTTTTTCTGTGTCTCTGTAAATGCCTGCAAAAACAAACAGGACTTTTAAATAAATGGGTGCCTGCCGCAGCCTGGCACGAGGGGGAGGAGCATGTGCTTGATGGGGAAACATCAGTGTCCCTGCAGCTGCCATTTCTTTACCTGTCTCCCACCTGGTCCAAACAGACTGGTGCATGTGGGGTCAGTTTAATTTGGAAGATGCCTGTCCTGAAAAGTCAAGTCACCTGACACTGAAGGAGTCCCCAAGGTGCACGCACTCCACTGGGCTGCGTTGCTGGGCAGACCCACGCCTGCTCTCCTCTCCTCTCACCTCCATGCTGGACTCTGTTTATCAACCAACAGTGAATTGCGGCGACACTGACTGCCAAACACTGGCTCTTGTGGGCTGCTGTATTTTTTATGATCAATGGATATTCTGAACCACTCCAAAGATCAATCTGTTTCATGCTGTGTGTCCCCCTGCACTCTTGTCTCTCTGTGGCGTGCTCTCTGTGATCCGGGACCTGGCTGAGAATCTCCAATAAGGGGGGGTGCTCTAGAACACCCCAGGGCACCAGTCCTGATGGGACCCTTGCCCACAGTTTGGGGCGGGGGGAGACCTGATGCCTTCTCACGTCTTCCCAGTGAAGCTGCTCGGCGGGGACGCTTTGCTGCCTCCCTCGTGTTCTGTGGCACACAGCCTTTGCACTCACCTCGGCCTAGGGAAGGACTTTACATGGGTTTTGAGTGCCCAAAGCAGGGAACTTCAAATTCACCACGTGAGGAGATAGTGGAGATGTATGTCCTCCCACATGCTCAGACTTGATTTAATGGCTCTGGAGGGCTGTCTAGGGGGTCTGTGTCTGCAACAGGTGGCTGGGTAATTCCGCTGCAGGTGGGGCTGACATGGTAGCCCTGATGCTGAGACCCCCACATGATATACGGAACCCCCGGTGAAAGCCCAGAACTGTGGCCTAGACCGTGTGGCTGACTGCTCAGCAGCAATGGAGATATGATTCCCGAGAAATTTTGTCAATAGGCATGAAATCCTTTAAGTAGGAATAAAATATTACTTAGAGTAACAGGCTAAATGACTTGTTCCCATAAATGAAACAGATTCCTTAAATGGAGAAAAAAGTGGACAGCTTAATTTTCTCCTGATGATGCTTAATCTTTAAGACCTAAATGCAGGCTCTCTCTGTGTACAAAAGCAAAGGGTATTAATCATCCTGAGGAAATATCTCTGACGACTCACAAACCCCTTCCTCCTCAGCGGCCGGCCGTAAGAGCAGTCAGTGAGAAGGGCTGCCAGCTGGAGGCCAGGGAGCCACATTGGAGGAAGGAACATAGCCCCGCGGGTGGGCAGGGCCCGACACTGCAAGGCTGCTCAGTCATTGGTGACGCTCCCTGAATGTCCCTACAAACCCAGCCAGGGGCAAACATTCCTGCCAGCCTAATAAGGGTAGAAGATAGATCCTGCTTACACTGGCATAGCAGCCAGATGCTGAGTGAGGACACAGACAAGGCCTCCGGTCAGCAAGACAGCGGGAGGACAGTCTGGCCTGTGGGTTCCAGGAAGGATCTGGACGCAGACGGGCAGGGCTTGAACCCTGTGTGGCCAGTTCTTCTACCCAAGACTCAGTTTCCTCCAGAATGGAGGATAGCAGTCTGTCCCACAGAGGGGTGTTGTTAGTGAAATGACACAGGAAAAGTTCTCAGAGGCTCGGTGCCAGTGGCTTAGTGAGTAGGGCGCCAGCCACATACACCAAAGCTGGCAGGTTCAAGCCCGGCCTGGGCCTGCTAAACAACAATGACAACTACAACTAAAAATAGCCGGGCGCTGTGGTGGGTGCCTATGGTCCCAGCTCCTTGGGAGGCTGAGGCAAAGGAATTGCTTAAGCCCAAGAGTTGGAGGTTGCTGTGAGCTGTGATGCCACATCACTCTACTAAGGGCAACACAGTGAGACTCTGTCTCAGAAAAAAAAAGTGCTCAGAGCTCTTAGAATGCACCTTGCTCTGGCTGACAGCTCCCCACATGCTACATGTGCGGGCTCCAACCAGGTCTCTCTGGCTGGCTGGACCAGCCTTTTGCTGGCGGTCTCATGGACCAGCCGTTTGCTGGTGACCTCCAGGTGCTCCTCACATGTGGTATTTAACTGCGACCTTTAGCTTCACCCAGGCACAAAGCAAATGACTTCAAGATCTGAAAATTGCAGCCTGAGTTGCAGACAAACTGAAGGACAGCTGGCCTCAGTTTCCAAGGGGCAAAAGCAATTGGCTCACTCCATAGATGTGCTTTCCAGACGTCACTGCACACAGGACGGCACATGGTGCCCATGGTGGACATGCTTACGCCTCTGCAGAGAGCCCAGCCCAGTCTCCGTCACAGGGGCACCAGGCTCAGATAACCCAGGGCTGCAGACGGGAGCGAGGCCTCTGCAGTGCTGACTTAGTGGTGGCCAGTTCTTCTCAGTGGGAGGTGCTGAGCCACAGCACTGCGGGTTGGTCACAGGCGACTCTGGGGATTTCTGAAAATGCCTCCTATGCTGTAGAGGGCGCTCCTCTATAGTTCACGGTACCTGATACCCCACCACGCCCCCGGGGCGGACTGGGGAGCAACTTCCTTGGGGCCCTGGTGGGCAGGGGGCTGCATGCCTGGACACCGCCCAGATACCCCCAGGATGACTTCAGAGTCCTCTGCCCCATGAGGCCTGCATCAGGAAGTCTGCCTGGAGGAAGGCAGCCACGATGCACCCCAAGTTTATGTGCTGGGGTGAGAAGGCTTCAGGGCAAGAGCCTGTCTTTCTAGAACCTCCTCAAGACACAGCAAAGGGGCAAGAGGCCCCCGTTGTAATCCAGGACTCATAGAGACTGGTCTTCGATGTGAAATTGAGAACTTCCCTGACCTCCCTTTCATTACTCTAGAGCAGTGATCTCCAACCCGTGTGCCATGAAAAATTGTAAAGGTCATTAATTAAGTTATTCTTGAAAGAAGTTCAAAGAATAGTAAGTACATTCCTTTTTTACTCTTTGTTTGATCAACATAATTTAAATGTGCTGTGGAAGTTTAACTATAGGTTCAAGTGTGCCGTGAGATAAAAAAGCTTGAAAGTCACTAGTTGGTCGCTTTGTCCCTGGGGAGGAAGGGAGGTGTGCTGGCTTCATCAACCCCTTCCCAGATTCTGGCCAGCCAACCTTCCTCCTGGACAGAGGCTGTGTCTCCGTGGGCCTCACAGGAAAATCATTCAGATGCTTCTCCTCTCTCTTGAACTAAACTAATGCTGAAAAGCCCTGACTGACGTTTTCCCTTCCGCAGCAGCAGGCAGGCCTCTGCTCCTGACCGTTGCTCGGGCCAGCACCTCCCTGCCTGTGATTCCACCTGTGAGGGGCCCTGCCTAAAGCCACTTGTGCTCCAGATCACTTGGGGCCACCAAGAAGGAAAAAGGGAAAGAGGTGAGAGCTGGGGCCCCCCAGGGGGACAAGGCGTTTGGCAGAGAGCCAGGGTGCCCAGGGGGATGTGGTGTCCGGCAGAGAGCCAGGGTGCCCAGGCATCCTGTAGAGAGCTAGGGGGATGAGGTGTCCAGCAGAGAGCCAGGGTGCCCAGGGGATGAGGTGTCCAGCAGAGAGCCAGGGTGCCCAGGGGGATGAGGTGTCCAGCAG